CTCCCATCTGATGTAGTGTGTGCTCCTACAGTGGAACTATTTAAATCGCAACTTAATGAAGCATTGGAACACTTAAAATTTCAAAATCCATGAATGATCACACACATTATTATCATTGTTATTTTCTCTTTGTAAAGTTATTCAAAACATTCTGTAAAAATCCTATGGGGCATGATAAGCTTTAGCTTGGTAAAACGCCCATAATAAAACTTTGACTTTGAGATGAAACCGGACCCTGAGTGATTGAAGCCACTCTGACAAATTACACCTCCCAAAGACCTCAAATTGCAATGCCGGGCAAGCGGTTCATTTCCATATTACTCCCATTGGATTCCTCGATTCTCGGACAAGATACATCCCTTGGTACATAATAACACATTTCCCCTACCAGAGGACGTCAGAATATCTTTCGAAGCGCTCAAAAGCGAACTAGAACACGCAGACATCACCATCATCGACCCGAAGATACCTCTAGTCTCTTTGTGAAGCTATTCAAAATATTCTGTAAAATCCTGCGAGGCATGATAAGTTTTAGCTTTGTTAAAATCGCCCATAAGAAAACTTTGACTAAAAAATCTAAGTTGTCAGAACATTACGGAAGTGCGCAGTCACAATACAAATGGCCTATGTGGTTTTCATTGGCATACTGAATTGGGTGACAGTGAAACTGTCTCACAAAAAGTGATTTCGATACGCCTTAAATCATCCGTTACACGACGGACGTCACCCCGAAGCTAAGATTAACAGAGCGGAACACTACATCGATTTACGCTGATGCAATAGTGTTTCACAAGGTATGTAATACCATGGATAGTGAATTCAGTTAATTCGTACATTTTACATTAGGAGATATGGGCCAAATTACTCTGAACAATGACAATATTGAAGTCAGGTGGAACCACCATGAATTCCAGCTCATGTGGCTGAAACTTCGGTTCCATTCTTTCAAACACTAATTTTGTATTGTTTACCGCTCGCCGAGTACCAGTGATCCTTCTATTTTTGATATTCTACCTTCCAACATTGAGACACGGATGGTGGTAGATCTTAACAACCAAATTACCACTATGGGAGATTAAATCAGTCCACAACAAGGAGTGGCTAAAGCACTGTTCAGACACTTCGATCATGGGATACGAAACCGAGGCCGTTTTTGTGGTCAACAACCCGAGTCAACTAGTTGACCTCTCCACGCGCATCCTTGATTGTATCGGTAACCGAGCTCACACTTTTGACCTCATTCTCCTTACCGTTCACTTCTATTTCTCCAACACCATTCCCCTTTCCACATTAGGCTCATCTCACTCATTTCTCTCACCCCATTTCACCACGTAACTCCAGACGCACCTTTTGGCGTTATGGTTCTAGCCAACTGTGACGGTTTTCGTAACTTTCTGGCCTGTCATCAATGTAAGGAAGGATTGTTGTTTCAAATCTGACGTTTCCACTTGTTTTGAACTTCACACAGAGTGTTCTTCGAGGTACGTATCTTTATATTCTACACTTTTCCAAATCTGACAAAATACGATCCGCTGAGTGGTTTAATCATGATTGCAATCGCACTGTACGTTTTAAAAACTCAGCATTCCGTCGTTGGTGCCACACATCTAAAAAGAATCCACTCTAGAGTAAGTCTGCCAGATGGGTCCTTCCGTCAGCTCAACAAGGATGCTGCAAATCGACAAATATTTTTAGTTCTCCTAGTTAGGTTTGTAGCATCGTGCGCCCCGAATAATGTTGAATGGTTTCAATCAAAACCCTTTTGTGCAGAAAAGGTCTAGGAATTCCGAAGTCCAAACCATCTGCACTGGGTACTCTCTGTTCAGTGATGACAATACAATGAACACACACATGTATGCAAAATTTCAATACATCTGTTGTCATTGTCCGAGTCCAGCAATCGTCTTTGGCCAACTAAATGTGAATGAACTGAAGACACCGGCATTCATGATTACGACACTCGTAAATTCCTTATCATCTTTCATAAAGATGTCCTTGAATTCTATCAATATACGTGATATTAATGTTACCGTTCATGTCACCAACTTCGTCGGTGCTCAATGGTTGGAAGAAAGTGACTCATTAACCGGGGGAGATGTTATTCAACGACAGTGCACAGTCACTCATATCTGTACGTTCGTCGGTTGTAAGTGCAGTGTGATTCGTGCGAGACAAAAAGGGAGCGGGGTCAGTGTTGAACCATCTTGCTGCTCTAGTATTAAATAATCCCCGGAGTTTATAGACCCAGACATGCTCGATCAATTTTTACGACTTTAATTAATAACCTATAATAGATGCGGATCAAAAAAATCGTTGAGCTTCTGCGTTGTTCCAGTGCTAAGTATCACATAGAACAATTGACTATAGCCACATAGAATATCTGATTGTTATCAAAAGGAGACATGCTGGCTAACAACTGGGGCACAGAGACAGAGATCCACAGTTCAATCAAACTGAAAACTAACCGCATTTCGTCAATCGTGGTGACCAGTTCGTCGCGTTCTTTTCGCAACGCGGTCACCTCATCCTCTGTGACCGTGACTCCATTTGATTGGACCGGCTCCCCATCCATGTTCGGTCGATTCCACAAAACCGATGCGTGAGCAGGGGAGGCCGGGCGTGTGGAAGAATCAATCCGTGTCAGGGGCTAATTGGGAGGGGAGGGACGAGTACAAAACCGTAATGTTAGTATACAAAAGCTCACGTTAGAATCAACCGAAATAGTTTCAGGGTTATATAGTCAAAACTATTTCTGTGAATTTAAAATTTATGTCCGACTCACGTTCAACCGAGAGCGTATCTGATGTGATGGACAATAGTCGAAAAACACAATTTATTACTGTGCACAGGATTGTGATGGGGACAAGTAGAAAAGATGAAACAGTAGTTCTATAACGTGTGACTGGGATTACACTGCGATTAAGTGGATACACACTAGAAACATCACTGATATGCAAACCGAACACAATTCTCCCTTTGCGCAATCATATAAAGGTTCAGGCGGAACCAGAACCGATTTGTCAATTAGGAGGCAAGCAAACTCGTACGCGACCAGCGGTGAAACAGAAGACCAAGCACCTAAGATCTAGCGCCACGCTAAACGGATAAGACAGAGATGAAGTCAACATTCGTATCGATTGCGCAAATACAGTATTCCTTCAAGAACTTCACGAACTCTTGTATTTTTGCAGCGAATCTGCGCCTTTATCGACATGCCTTTCATCTTGTGCTGGATTTTACGGAGTCGTCGACTCTGTCGCAGAACATAGCACATAGGCAACTATCAACAGAGACATTCAAGAAGCCGACTTATCCTCATACAGCGGATCTTCGCATAGGAGAGCGCCTAATGGTTAACTGGAACGAAGCAAGAGCCACAGGAGTTTCAGAGTGGAACGTGAACCAAATTACACCTTATTTTGCACGCACATCACAATGTCAAAAGTGGGAAAGAGTACCGATCAGTAATTAGTCCATATTGTGTTTGAAAAAAAGCAATTTTGATTTCTTTTTCTCCACGTATCCCCACATTGGTGGGAGAATAATTAGATAAAGAGAAAAAATGAATAGTACACAAACAGTCGATGGGGCAGGATGCATTCGAACACCAATAGATAACCCGGAGGAGCAACTGAGCGCGGGGGAATAGACATGAAAGGCTGTACAGACGAACACTGGGGGAATGGCTTCTCTTAGGCGGATTGACTGCTATCCTCAAACAGGTCTAAACCGTTTGAATATGATCCGGCGAAGAGTTCAAAATGGAAGTAAAAGTAATCCACCGGTGGTTCGCGCGGCCGAAGCACGACAGAGAGACGAGAAACGCTTACCTGTCACAGCAAAAAATAGCACAACTCTCGATCAGCTGAAGCAGATCAAATTAAACCGTAGTGTAAAAACCCGGGTACACACAGAGCCGTACGTATGTGCATATGGGGCAGGATGGTTGGTTAGTTGCTACGTCGTGCCGTGAAATGAGCGCAAAGTACATTGGCATACTAATCCGGGTCTTCCAGGTTAACCCTGGGACGCACTTTAATCTGTTAAATTCATAACGGCAGGGGAGAAGGACTGACAGCGGGAGGCACAGGCACAAGCATACAAGAGGGAACAGTGTGAGATACACCACAGTTTCTAAGCTAGATGGAAGGAGAGACAGCAAACCGTTCGGATGAACAGACACAAACCGGAATCAAAACTGTGAGGAGAGAGCGTTTCGTGAATGACCCCGAGATAGACAGATTTTGAGGTCGCTCTAGTTGTTTCTAAACGGCAAACACCTCTATTTTGTTTGTACACAATACGGGTTCATAATAAGCGATGGGTTCCATTTACTGGTTCACCTTAGAATTCCCATTGGCAAAAATCTAATGGCAGACGGGAGAATATTTTGTCAAATTGTGCAATTTTTCTACAAGAAAGTAACACACTCCACTGGGAAGGTGTTATTATTCATTCTTTTAGATTCTATTCAAACAGTCACTTTACTATTTACATTGGACAAACTCAAGCGAACAATGTCAACATTCAATAACGCAACTATCACTTAGTACCAATGTAGGTTTTCGAGTGGGAGCACAATTGTATGCTCCGGTGAACATGACGCCCCGATTTCAGATGGATGTTTGAGGAATGATCTCGAGATAGATGACGGATCCGCAACCTCTAACCCGGAAACTAAGTGCCTTCCACTTGCTAACTATTTCAGCCCTGACATCCACATCAGTAAAAAAAATGGTGCCAGTTGGAAGTCTACGCTGAAATAAATATAAATAAAAACACTCGCGATTGAACTACTGTGGTATTCGGGACATACTACAATTATGGAGAGGAAGTTGCTAAAAAGAGGGAAAACGGATGACATTCCATTCGATTCTGATGATCATACGAAAATAACTGCCCGGTGTTCAAATTGTATCCGCCATAAAAATATCTCAGTTGTAATGCCCCCAGTATTCAATGAAAAATTAATTGAAGCGAAGAACGAATTTTCAATATCGTAAGCGTTTAGGTTGATATATGATAACAAGGTCACGATATGATTGACATGAGAGAAGGGTATCATGTTGTACCTAGTATGTTAAACTGTTTGAATGATATCGCTTGAGCAACGGTTGATTACGTCGTGTTGTAGAGTTAGGGGAAGCTCAGAGTGTGGGATGTCCACGATCTTCACGCCACATTTGACGCTACATCAAGAACACTCAGTTCTTATGCAATGAACATACGCATCATCAGGCTGATGATAAAACGGTGAATCCCCTCAAGTCAAGTTAGGTTGCTAATATTTTTGACGAAAGTAAACGAAATCTGGTACGTTGTCCAACAGAACTAGAAAGACAGATTTGTTCCGACGGAACATTGTCAGTCAAATAATGGAAAATATTAAGTATCATACAGCAGATTAGATATCCTGATAAGTTTATCAAAGAATATTGGAAAACAGAACTTACTAAATTTACACCATCCAAATAAACGATTAATTCTACTTTTTACTAACGGTCACTGAACTCTTTAAAAATCGGTTTTCGATTGCAATAAATCCTGAATGTTTAGACACCAAGTTCAGGATATTCCACTCATACTATCGAACGAAAAGATAGACTATCATCGTCAATCAATGTGATACGCCTCTCCATCGGTTCACCTGTTCTGGCTATAGTGGTCGAGAGGAAGTTAAGCGCACTTCAGAGCATCATTAGGTCTTGTTGAATTAAGTTTTGACAAGTAGGTTATCATTCGGCTTTGTCTGGCGTTTGGTCAATACAAACATTCGGATAGATGTCAAGAAGTCCAGAAAGGTCTTCTGCAGGACTCCAACGGAGCCAGTAACAAAATATCTGTCATTGAATAACGGATGGGAGCTGGATTTCTCGAGGTTGGAATGACTTTCGTCGTTAGTTAGAAAAAAAACAGCACGTGTGCATTTCGAAGAGTTAAAACTTGAGTTATGAATGTCGACTATTCGCAGATCTGCGAGATGTGCCGAGTTGTTGCTCGAGGAAGGCGTTTCCCTCACTTGAATGGGTTGAATCAAAAACCACATTTGCGCAACGAACCGATCGAGAATTCGTGTTCATTAGCCTGGAGGACATACAGATGCACACGGGAAACAATGACAACATAAGTACTATGTGTTAGGGGTAAACTTTTCCACGATAAAAGGTATGTTGCTTCCGACCGGTACAATAATTAGACAGTAAGGAGAGGAGAGATGGATCGATCCATGAGGAGGAAATTTTAGTTCTACCAGAGCCATAAAAAGCGTCAGTATGATCCAGAAAACACCTCGGTAGTTTGACCTGATTTAAATGCTGGAGACTAAAACATGAGGTTTAGCGTAATTGTGCGGCGCTTTTTTCGATGACCGCGAAATATTAGTAGTTATAATGCGATAAGAGCTAATAACCCCACCCGGGTTTCCCGCAATTTCTGAGCAAGGGAATGAGCCAGAGGGATCAAATTTTATCTGTTAATGATACAGCTCAGCATTGCCTAGAGAAAGTAAACAGATTCTGATTATGACTTCTATAAGCTGATTTATCACTGGAGACGGGAACTATTATTAACACAAACCCAGGAAAATGATAAAAACATCCAAGTGGTTGCAACATACAAAACCTTAATTATTCATGAATACAACACAACGCTCAGGTGGATCATGTTTCGGACTATCTGGACACCGAAACTGTTCCAATCGTGTATTTAACTTATGCACAATGTAGACTATCTTCCCGTGCTCATAAACCCGACTAGCCAATGGACCCCAAAACTGATCATGCTGAAAAATCATGGATCTCAATCGATTTTCCGAAATTACGGGTAGAACAAACTCATCCAAGATTTTGATGTAAAGCTATAACTGCTTGATCTCCTTTAGGGATTACCAGCTGATAGTTTTCGAACACACAAATGGCACTTTGATTCACAGCACAGCTCTTTCTGTAAGCTTCACAACTAAGGACAAACTTGCTCTTAAGCAGATCATGCGAACAATACATGAGCCCAACATGACTGTCGAAGTTGAACTTTTCGCATTGCTTAATATTAGATCAGTGGTTCAGTTGATGTGACATCCAGCCCACAGAACACGATCATCAATTTGACGATAAGTAGTTATTCATGGTACGGATTTATTCTTCCTAAAGTGCAAGTTTGGTGCAGTTTCTAGCAGTTGCTGTACACGAGGCACACTCGCACCCAAGCGTAATGATCGCTATAACTTCGACTCAACTATTACCCAATATAAAGCAACACCTAAAAGGGATCTCGTGCCATGATCTGAGATCACTCGTTGAATCCGGCATTTATTATTCGAGTTACACTCATGTAAGTTGACCAAAGATTACGAACAAATCGCGGTGATTGGTGAACTTTTACGGTAATCTTGCAAACGCAGATACCGCGACTTAACAGTCGAGAACTCTTCCTTGTTTCCGCTCCGAGAGCCTTCAACCGCATGTTGTTTATCTGTTTCGATAAAAGAACCGTTCATGAACTTGTATGACAAAAATTATCATCATTCACCTATTGTGTAGTACCCGAATATGGCATTACTGAATATCCCTTAACATATCTGAGGCGTAATTGATTCACACAACTAATGTGGCGAGCACTTGGAGTGAGGTTAATAGCGTTAGGCGCAGCCCCGGGGCATATTTTCTGGTATGCGTCAGTTAGGCAGTGATAGGGAAAAATTGTTTGATTTTCCGTAGGCGGTAATGAGTTGTATCAGCATCCTCATTAAAACAAGTTTGATCAATCAGGGTGGGGTTATTCGTAATTTATACATTATATTGGCAATGTTCACTGGCCTAGTGTTTGCTTAGAAAGTTTGCATAACATGTGCATGAGCACATAGTAAATGTGTGTGAGTTTCTTCGAAAAAGAATGTGATCAAAAATACACTGATAAAAAAAACGAAAAATCGAATTCGCATAAAAGATAACAAAAAAATAGTAGAAAACTTTTCACTTACCGGCTGTGGTAGTTCTTCCGCGAGTCCGTCGTTCGGAGGATCACTGTTGGAAAGTGTCGGAACAAAAGAAGAACATCACACACAATTCATTTTTGTAATCCATACACACACAAAGAGTGAGAGAGAACAAAAACAAATATGTGAACAAAACAGACACGTTAAATCAAACCGACTGTCCAATCAAGAATGTCAACCAGGAGTGCGGAGAGATTAGTCAATTTATTTTTCAGCAAGTGTCACGTGGATGAACTGAATCAGTAGACAACCAATCGGATCATGGGTCGGACACCAAATGTGTGCTATCAGATTACTGGCGAAATATGAGGCCAAGTGAACGATTAATCGATCTCGGTCATGCAGCCCAGACCGCATCGCCCCTCCACGCCCCGTCCACTCGAAATCAGTATTCAATCACACGTGGCGCACAAAGTTTACTCAGATAGACCAAAGAGTAATGGTTATTTCAGAATCTTAGTTGCATTAAGCCCAGGAGGGAAAGAGATAAGTGTCGATTTCTTCTTGTGATACTCAGTTCTCATTGTATTACGAACTGCTCACCAATTTACCAACACATACACACAAAGCCAAAAGAAGGGATGGGAGAGGAATGTCAGTTGATATTTGCTTTGAGCCGTGACGATCTCCACGCCAAACCAACCGATGCACACTGGTTGAGAAGAGAGGTAAAATCGTTGCGAGACCAAACAGAGCAAAACCGCCTACATTACCCGGGGAGACAGGCACCCCTCTGGGCCCGCCTGTTTCCTAAAGACGCATAACCATTGCTCCGATACATAAGAAAATCCACTTGACCACGCCTACTGATAAGCAGGTGAATTACCGATCAGAAAAGATCAGTGAAAGAATGGATTGGAGAGTACGCGAAAACCATATGGAAGTATTATACTACTGAATACGCCTTATCGACAGAGTGCAAACCATGTTCAAAGCCTAACAAAGTTTGTTTATCCCAGTCAATTAGTTAGGATTTCACTGCTCTTTGAATTCGTAATTTACCCTCAAAACTCAGACACAATCCACGTCACCGATAAATGTCAAATATTCATGCCAGTGTCCGATTCTAACCATTCACTCAGCCAAAAATATATCACCAATGCGGAACCGATCGATTTTTTTCGTTAAGAATTATTGTGTGATGAACAGCAGAAGAGTTACAACCTATAGCCACCAAGACAATCGCGACGAAACTGCACATCGACGTGGTGTGAAAGCGTGAGGAACCTACATGACCCTGCGAGCTATACAGGATGGCTTTTCACAGTCCATCGACATTAGGCCTATCAACCTCTACATCAACTAGGAAAATACTGCCAGTTGACATCACTCCTCAATGTGAAATGGAGGATTACAGGAATTGAGTATTCTCAAAAAGTATAAGGCTCCCGGCCCAGATGGGCTGTGTCCATCGGCGTTTACGGATGGAGAGGCAGTTCTGGTTTTGGAGTTGGCCAAACACCTGGGCTCGATATGGGAGAGGGAATCGGTTTCACCTGAATGGTGTGAATCGATCATCTTGTCGATTCACAAGAAAGATGACAGATTCTCTTGTGAAAACCACAAAGGAATTAGTTTAATCAACATCATCTCTAAAGTTCTCGCTGGTATCATACTCCGTCGATTGTTTGCCACACGTGAAGGCGGCTCGCGTGAGAATGTGGCTGCTTTTAGATCTGGTCGAGGTTGCGTAGACCACATTTTCCCTCTGTCAAATTTTAGAACACACACTCCTTTCGAAGACCTATCAATTGTGTTTTCCTTGATCCGAAAGCGGCTTCGTCTCAGTGAACCGCCCTATACTCTGGCGCTGCCTCTCTCCCTCTGAATAGTGTACTCGAGGAGTTTGTTTCAATATTACGATCCCTTTATACTAATAGCCCAAGTCGAGTCCGAGCCGATGGCACTTTGTCTCCCGAGTTCACTACAGAAAATGGTGTTCGTCAGGGTTGCCCTCTCTCTCCTTTTCTGTTTAACCTTGTCGTAGATTTGACCATGGGGACAGCCGGATCATTGAAACGATTTGCTCCCAGGTGGGAGACTGTCAGATCTAGAGTATGCAGACGACATTGTACTGCTAAGTGAAAATCTAGGTAAGTTGCAAGCTTTTCTAGATAGTTTGATCACTAGTGTGGCTATGTACGGTATGTGTGTTGTACCTTCAAAGTGCAAATAATGTTGCTAGAACACTGGGTCCAGTTTCCAACCGAAATCAATGAATAGCTCGAAACAACACTTGGGAAGAGCCATGTTTCTGCTGTAACTAATTCACGCAGACTGTGCGGATAGACACTGACAATCAAAGGGTATAGCCAGCCATGTGGGAGATTCAATGTAAGACGAACGAGAAACAGCAATACCTCCGCCTGGTTCCATCTCCCATACACCACAGGTAACAGTGGAAATCGATGAAGGAAGTCAATATCTCCGGTAGATTTTATGATGTCGTTGCTGTTGGAAAACAATGGTGTGCCACGCGAAAAATGTGCGTTGTGGGCTGTGTATAATTGAGAATGAAGAAAAACACTCGCGAAACGCAAAAAGTAGGTTAATGTCCGACCACGTGTGTCTATGGGTTGTGCCAGGGAAAAACAGCATACTTCTGTATTCCATTTTAAATGAATCGGTAATAAAGATGGAGATACTGTGGTTGAAATGGTTTCGGTTGTTGATTATTGAAACGAAAACGAAGAACAGAAGAGCTCGGAAGAGGGTCAGCAAAACCGGTTCAAAGGCATTCGATGCGGTAGAATGAAATGTAAAATCACTTAATACAAGTGACTGACTTGTAGATTTATCCACAAAACTTTCAAGTGTGCGGATGATGTAGTCAAAATAATATTCAAAAACCCTTGAATTGAATAACCTTTTAAAGAATCTTTCGTGTGTGGACAACTTTTCACTTGATTTCAATCTCATCCCCAAACCAACCGAATGTGTTGAATGCATTTTAAGTTTGTCAAAGTGCTGTTCATTCGACTATGCAACGACTACTTGTAACTGTCTACCTAGAGCAAACTCAGGCAAATACCTTGGGATCAACAATGATCCCCCCATATCTATCTACTACTAAAACATTTCTTTTCGTGTTCTTGCATAAGGGTTTCATGTCAAATTTGTTCAGTAGTGTCTATTTCCTGTTGTTCTGTCCATTCTTTAAAGACATTACAAATTATCAGCTTCGCACCTGCAATTTCTGTGACCCAGATATTAGAGCGTGTGATAACTGTGAACGCAAAATCCATTCAAATCCCACCTATTTTTACAGATTAACTTGATGTTCTGCCGTGACCGCCGCGACTGAATGAATACAAACGTTCTGTGTGGCACGCTCATTGAATAATGGATAGCTTGGGGAAAATGGATTTCTTGAAAATTCTCCAGTGTATCTTTACTTGTTTTTTTTCTATTGATGAGAACATGCTTGCGAATTGTTACACAACCCTGAGTTTGGACATTGATGCGGTACAACGTTAGCATCCCATTACACAGAATGAAAATCGGAGAAAGTTCATTACCTGAAAGGTGGTGGAACCTCATTCACCGGTGTGGACGGGGATGCTTCGGGATCGTCTGTTTTCGGGGATTGCAACGCCGCTGTGATAAGCGATTGGATATGCAAAACAGGGAATCAGTAAAAAGCAAACATTTTTCAATTTTTCGCGGAATAAAAAGTGGAAAATGGATCAAAACAACAGATAAACATAAAATTTCCCAATGGAAATAGCTAATAAGGACATACGAGATAACGCTTCATTCTGACTGGAAATCATTGCTCGGGTACAATAATCCCTCACTTGTCCCAGGATTTACCGTCCAGAGAACTCCACGATGGGTGGAAATCTGCGCGTGGTGGTGATACATTTGTCGATATTCATTTTCAAGGGTTCACATTCATTCAAAACTTTCTCGCA